CACACACACACACAACAGTCACTCAGAGGTGATATCAATACAGTATTTGCTTAAAACAAAACTTTTTGTATTACAAAGTACATTAAGTGCTGACTTCAGAACCAGTATTAACCAAAGAAGACTCCCATCTCTGGTTTTGGTTGCACTTTATTCCACAGCTACCAGCATCCACATTAAATGCAGCGGGTGATATGCATTCCTTTAAGGAATGCTAACATTTTATTTTTTCAGCTGCTCCATTTCGCAGGGTCATATGAAAGATGGAGCAAATGTTTTACACTGGAGTCAGTTTCTGACCCAACCTGGGCTTGAACTTGCAGCTTCAGGATTACAGGACCGCACTGACCACCGAGCTACCGTCTGGGATGCGAAGTGATCTAAATCTTAAAAAATGATCTGCTGGTTTGTTTGCTTTGGATTTATGCTATTATAGTTGAAGTCTAAGCTCCTAAAAATAGATGAAAATTTGGGAATTAAAAAAAAAAAATTTTTTTTCAGCTCTTTAAATCTTTTATTTTGTTCATAAACCTGTTAAACATGAATTATGAGCTCTGAGATAAACTAAAACATAAATAATATTGCTGCCCACCTTATTTTTCCTGCCCACAGAAAAATTCAAACTCACCACCTTTTTTATTAAAATATATTTTATTCTGGACTTAGGTTTCACTGATCTGACTTAAATGATGACAAATGGATGAAACGCAACCTAAAATAAATCAGCTGATGACCTGCAGAGTCCAGAGCAGGGTTCTGCTGGGCTGACAGGCAGATCCAGTCCGTGGTCTTCACCCAGACCAGAGCATCAACATGTCCAAGGTTAGTTTGTCCAAGACAGCTGTAAAAACTTTAAGTACAGCCAAATCAACCAACAGCACACAGGAGTTCAAACAGGAACGTGTCGAATCTCTTATTAAAATCCAGAAAAGGAGATGTAAAATTGATTGACGTATATAAAAAATAAGTTAATTAGCAGTCCCACAAATGTTTGTCAGAGAGGGAAGTGCTTGTAGACTCGCACATCAGTCTGACTTTAAATATTTTCACCTTGGAAGATTTATTTTTTTAATTTTCCAAACAATGAACTACTGTTGTGCCAAGTAGGATTCATAGTACTGATACAGTCATCCCTTAACAAAAAGTAGTACATTTGAAGTTCATTTTTGCAAGTATACATTAAGTATATCAAGTATACTACACACCATACTTGTAGTGTAGTAGAAAGTATACTGATTTAATACTTGTTTGGACTAAATTGGGACATTTTTATACTATTTTTTAAGTATATTAAATAAAGTTTATAAAAAGTAAACTTCAAGTACACTTCCTCATTTTTAGTGTAAAATAAGTATACTTGTAATACAATTAAATAAACTACTTTTTGCCAACGGATGTGGAGCAGGATTAGCTCAAACTGAACAGAAATATTTTAATCTGTTGTTTAAGACCTTGTCCAAAAGGGAATGCTTTTGTGGTCCCCCGAAACAACATTTTCTAAAATTATCCTCGTAAGCACTGCACCATTTTTACCACCGTTTTCATCCACACAGAAACAGATGGCCCATAACTATGCCAGAAACAGGAAACAAGACGTGGAGCGTGCTCAGAAAGCCTACATTAGTTGTAAGAAAGTCTGAAAAATCCAACAGTGTAGACTGGGAGTCATGCTGGTTCAAATATGTGGACATAATGGGCGCTTTTCAGGCCCGGTATCCAACGGCGGACGCCTGGAGGGAAGAGAGTTCCTCACTATGTTCAAATTAAATCAAGTTTGTTTATGCACACGTCAGTCTTTGTGATATATTTGTTTTCCACATTCTTTAAACAAACTTGACATATTGTAGTTTTTTGTTTTGTTTTTGTAATTTTGACAGGTCACTAAAGTGATTTAAGGTTGTTTTGTTTTTACATAATAATAATAAGGGTTTTTTGCTCTATTCAATTTCAAACAACACTATAGTTTCACCAGCAATCATAAGCTGTGTTTGGGGTCAAAGGTTGGGTAACAGGTGTGTCTATGTCATCAGAGTTTTCAAAAAGTTGTGTTTTAACTGTCCCCGCAAGAGAACGCAAGAGTGGTCTTTTTAGACCTCCTCACTCTGGACTCGTCAGAAAAATGTTGTTTAGGGACTCCTATGACACAGTTTCTGTGTGGACACAAGGCAGAAACATAAAAACGATTTGTATTCACACAAAAAAAACGTTCCCATGTGGACAGGGTCTTAAGACTCAACAGAACCCAGGTGGTTTGCAAGCAGACACTGCAAACGTGTAGTTTTTATTATGCTAATTTAAACATCTGTTTAAGTTTCCTCCAGATGCAACAAGTAGAATTAGATCTGCCTTCAGAGCAGCTCCTAATGCAAAACATCTGCAGGACTCCCAACCTTAGCGAAAAGCATAAAAATAAAAACATATAAGAAAGAAACACTTCTCCATTTTCTTTCCTCCGCTGACAAATTAGTCATGTTCAAATAAAGTGTTGTGGTGTGGTTCTGAACAAGTTGCTTCTCTGCCTCTTATTGAAGAAAAAAAAATTACATCTGCAAACAGTTTTTGCTTAAAACAGAAGAACTTTGTGGAGATTTCGTCCCCAGAAAAGTGCCTTCAGAATGACAGCTCAACCTTCACAATCTGCATGTGGAAACAAAGTCTAAACAGATCATAGAAACGGCCACTGACAGTTTAAGTTCTACAAATCAGCTACAAAAACTTAGGCTTTAACTCTAAAAGAGTAGAAAATGTGTGTTGGAAAAGTCACTGAAGATGCAGCTCCATGTAACTGTTTTAATTCCCCAAAATGCTAACAGTGCGGAGAGAAAACTTAAATCTTTTCATGTGATGTCGTCCAGGGTCTCAGTCTCATTGGTTTGTGTTTTAGAAGATCTGCATGAAAACAGACGAGTCATCTCTCTGTGCAGGAAGTTTGCACCCTCTGCCTCAATAATCACGCTGGCCAAGTCATAGAAAACACTTACAAATCAACAATTTCTCTTATAAAAATATCTCATAGGGACATCTGCTTAAGAAACTGCTGTTTGGGTTAAACATCCAAAAAAGTCATTTCTCTGTTAATAGAGCTCACAAAGTATGAGCTGCTTCACCTAACTTTATGTGACTGTGTAAAAGACAAACATGGATGTAATTATGGACATCGGATAACTGTCTCAACACTGCGCTCACGTTAGTGCAAGGTTCACAGTGTTACATAACTGTGATGTCCTAAAGCTCCCTTACATCTGGCAAAAACCTGCTAGCATCAACTTTATAAATAGTAAAAGCTGTCCCGTACCAAAAAACGTCTACATTAGAAATGAGTATTGATTTGTTCCAGCTCCAAGACTGCAGGGAGCACGGCTTCAGGAGTAGGCTGTCTTTACTTACAGAAACACTTTAATTAATAATGACATCAAGAACTGGTAAATAGGTGGCAACAATGAACTAAGAAAGGTCTGATTGACAGGTTTGATGTGCTCGCAGTCAGTACAAGTGTGTGAAGTTAATGTTGGCTCAAGACTAAAATAGGTCAGTCCATATGAATATTGTCCACCCATGTAAATAATGCCAGTCCGTGTAAATAATGTCAGTCCATGTAAATAATGTCAGTCCGTGTAAATAATGTCAGTCCGTGTGAATAATGTCAGTCCGTGTGAATAATGTCAGTCCGTGTGAATAATGTCAGTCCGTGTGAATAAGTAAAGTGCTATGTGTTGTCATCATTGTATGTTCCTATAGAATGGCAAAATTGGCTCTCTGCATTTAACTCATCACATCTGGGATACACTCAGGTGGAGCAGTGGGCAGCTATGTAAACGCCTGGGGAGCAATTGGGGATTAGGTGTCTTGCTCAGAGACACCACGACACGTGGGAGTGGCTGGGGATCAAATCCGGGACTTTCAGGTCCCGAGTCGGCTGCCCTGCCTCTATCCCATCTCAGCCCCCACAAAAAAATCTTGTATATAGAATAATCTTGTTCCGTGTGAATAATACCGGATCATTTGATTAACGTCAAGCCATGTGAACAACCTTTGTTCATGTGATTAATGTCAGTTCATGTGAATAACATTGGCCCATGTGAATAATCTTGGTCCATGTGAATAATGACCAGTGTGAATAATGTGAATCCATGTAAATTGTCAATATATGTGAATTGTCAGTCCATGTGAATTATTTCAATCCAAGTGAATAATCTTCATCCATGTGATTTATGTTGATCCATGAAGAATAATGCTGAATTAATGTCAATCCATGTGAATAATGTCAGTCGTGAATAATCTTGGTTCACATGAATGTTGACCAATGTGAATAATGTGAGTCCATGTAAATTATGTCAGTACATGTGAATAATGTCAGTCCATGTGAATAATATTGGCTCATGTGAATAACGTCAACCTATGAGCATAATGTTGGTCCATGTGAAAAATATGTTTCAATCATGAGTAGTGTCAATTTGAACAATGTTGGTCCATGTTAATACTGTTAGACAAAAATCATTAAAGTTAGTCCAGTTTGAAGAATGTCAACCCAATGTGAACATTTGTTCAATGCGAATAATGACTGAATGTAGTTTATATATCACATATGGATGTTGTGACCTTTTAAAATAATCTAAAAATCTTTCTGGCTGAAGACCGTATAGAATCAGAAACCAACACTCAGAGATTTTTCCAAGAAAAGCTTCTTCATTTTTCTTGCATCAAGCAGTTGACTGCTACAGCCAAAAACTCAGAAAAGCTGCAGGTAAGAAACTCCTGATAAAATAGTTCACAAAGGCTCGGTTTTATATCATATAGGTCTACAGTAGCAGTGTTATCTGCACATATGTTAAACCAGAGGAATACTAAATGAAGATGCTTGATTCTTGTTTTAAAGAGGAGGAGGATAAAAAGAAGTAGAAGTCAAAAAACAAAAGTCTTCTTAAGTTTATTGTCTGGCCCCTTAGTTTCCTGAGTGATCTCTGCCGGCAGAAATCACCACGACAATTCATGAAGGGAAAGCCTGACATCCTGTTGTAGACAGAAATTTTCACAGATGTGTTGCTGAGCGTGTATGTTGGAATTTATTTGTCTGGGTTTACTTCTCCAGCTGACAAGCTCTCACTTCTTGCAAAAAGATGAAAAATATAAAACATTTGAACGAGAACTGACAAAACAAACAAATAAAAACCTAAGTGCCTTCCTTTTCTGTGGTGGACACAGCAAGATATCTGCACGATGAGCGCTGATGAGTAACATAGATTTTCCACTTGCTGACGAGGAGTATGGTTTAGAACAGCTTCCATATTTCAGTAAATATATGGATCTGTAAGTTGTTTTTTGTCTGTTTGGCTGCGTCTCTCTGAGAGTCTGCACAGATAGAGAGGAGTGCCTCCATCCTGTTCATCCCCGTGTCCGGACCTGCTGTGTCGGGTTCTTGTTTCCTGCTTCCTGTTCGTCAGTGGACAGGGACGTCAGCGTGAACAGTAGGCGGGGCAGGCCGGGACAGACATTTGGCTATGTACACATTCATGGTCGGTCCATGGCTTTCAACCAACAGCAGCACTATTTCCGCAGGTCTAACACACACACCTGGAAGAACGGAGACATCAGAGATAGAACCGCACACATAGAACCAAGCTGAATATTCCTTCAGTCCCTTGTACACACTTACGGATCCATCTGACGCGCTGGCTCCCACTTTGTCTCCTGCTGCGTTCCAGCACACTTCGAAGATCCCCCCAGTTCCTCTGTAACTGTGAACTAAAGCCCCCGTCTTCACAAACAGGGACAACAATAATTGGGTGAGAACTGTTCAGAACTTTACCATGGATGTGCAGCAGTTTCTCCTACTACCTGTGTGTTCCAGATGTGCACGCATTTATCAAAGGAGCCGCTGGCCAGATGGCGCCCGTCGGGACTGAAAGCCACACTGTACACTGGCTCCTGGTGTTTGGTCAGAGTGTGGATACAAATGCCTCGGTCCACATCCCAAAGACGAACCGTGGAGTCAAACGATGCGCTGCAGAAGCAGCACAGACATTGAAACAGCTGTTCTATACAACAAAGTTATTACAGCTCATTCTGAAACCTGAATGCAAGAAGGATCAGCTTTAATCTTATTAAACTATTAAATGTCAGCTGATTATTGACGAGCTATTAGCAGTTTTATAAAACGTTGAGTTCTGACAAACTAATTCATACTTTACCCAATTTGTCTCCAAGAACTCTGTTTAACAGTATACACATTTCTGATGTGTATACATCATTAATGGATGTTTACACATCAATTAATTAATTGATGTTTACACATCAATTAATGAGCATATAAATATAAGTCAATATCAATCATAAATACTGATCAATATATTGATCCAATATAAATCAGTGATCAATACCATATATAAATATTTGTTTTCATTTCTGGTTAATTTTAAAGTATATCAGTGTAATGTGGTGATAACAATGAAGGTAGCAAATCCATATATACCTTCTATGCCCATGTGAGTAATATAGTGTGACCTGTAGGGGCGTGATTGTGAGGAATGGCCTCTCTGATCTGAACCCGAGTTGTGTTCTGTTGGTGTACTTCTGTGCTAGTCATAGTTTGTCCATCATAAACACCATGTTTGAACATAAGTGTGTCCATAAGTGGACTTGGTACCAAAACGCCCTAGGTCGTAAATCGATGATCGATGTTGCAGTCATGTCATCTGATTTGCGACCATTTGTTTTGGACACTTGGGTAAAGAGAGGAGCTATCAACTGATCACCACCTGATAGTGAGATGGATCAGATGGCAGGGGGAGATGCCGGACAGACCTGGTAGACCAAAACGTGTAGTGAGGGTTTTCTGGGAATGCCTGGCAGAAAAACTGTCAGAAAAATCTTGAACTCACACCTCCGGGAGAGTTTCAACTGCATCCCAGCTGATGCAGGGGGCATTGAGTCCGAGTGGACCATGTTCTGCGCCTCAATTGTTGAGGTAGCTGCCTTGAGCTGTGGCCATATGGTTGTCAGGGCTTATTGTGGTGGCCATCCTCGAACTCAGTGGTGGACACCCTGGGTTAAGGTCACCAAGGTAGTTCAAAAGCTCCACGGCTCCAGGGGTGAATGAGATTCGACCAGATTTCATTAAAACTCTGGAGGTTGTGGGGTTGTCTTTGTTGACCTGCCTTTGCAACATTGCATGGATATTGGAGGCAGTGCCATTGGATTGGCAGACTGGGGTGATGGTTTCCCTCTTGAAAAAGGGGGACCGGAGGGTGTGCTCCAATTATAGGGGCATCACTCTCCCTAGTAAGACCTGGTAAGGTCTATTCAGGGGTACTGCAGAAGTGAGTCCGATCGTTGGTCAAACTGCAGCTCCAGGAGGAACAACGCAGGTTTCGTCCTGGGCGTGGAACACTGGATCAGCTTTTTCCCCTCACTAGGGTCCTGGAGGGGTCATGGGAGTTTGCCCATCCAGTCTACATGTGTTTTGTGGACTTGGAAAAGGCATTCTATCGTGTTCCTCGGGGTACAGTGTGGTAGGGGTGGGCGATATGGCTCAAATATAATATTGTGATATTTCAGTGCATTCTGGCGATAACGATAAATTTCATGATATAACAAAAAAAACCGAAAAAAAAACAGACATCATAGTTATTCATTTGACAAAATTAACTTAACATGTTGCTTTGCAGTATTATATAAAAACAAAAAAACAAGGGTTAATTTTACTGAAATTACTTTACTTAATAAAGTATTCAGTCTCCAAGTCTAAAAATAAAAAAATATCCTTCTGTTATTTAGATTGAAAATGTCTGCACAAAATATAGATCAATAAAATCCACCACAAAAACTAAAATGCAGGTGAAGTTTTCCAAAATAACAAAATAAAATGAAGCTTAAGATCTGTTGAGCATAAATGTAACAAACAACAAAATATATGTTGCCTTTAAATGAGCTATAACTTCCAGAACTTGTAACAAGGTGATCAGCTGACCCTGAAGCTTGCGGTGTTTCAGCTTCCTCTGTTCCTGCAGGAATGATTCATTTCTCTGATGCTCTGTCTTTCATCACCTGACTCTGTTCTTGGTCCATGGACTGTGGAACTAAGAGACAGACCTGCGCATGTTTGTACCGGCAGTTTAGAGCAGGGGAGATGCAGCCAAGAGCTGCGCCCGCATTGGCAGCTCAGAGCGAGGTGGGGGGAGGGAGAGACAGTTGAGCTGTCTATACCTGCAGTTTAGAGCTGGATGGAGAGACAGCTGAGCCACGCGTTGTTTGTTTTTAGCATTTTAGCTAGCTAGTATTGCACGCAACTAATTAGCGTTACGCCAGTACCGACAGGTGGATGGGGGGTGCGCAGTTCGGTTTGGGTGTTCGGCGCGCTCGGTTCTGTTAATGGGGCAGGGCTCTTGACGTATTACATCATGAAATTAGCATATCATGATATTATTTATTTGCCCGGGCAAGCTTTTTTTACCGGTATTATCGTGAACGATATATGGCCCAGCCCTACACTGTGGGGGGGTGCTCCGTGAGTATGGGATTGGGGGCCCGTTGCTAATGGCTGTTCCGTCCCTATATGAGTGGTGCACGTTTGGCTCGCATTGCCCACAGAAAGTCAGATTCCTTCAAGGTGGGAGTTGGACTCCACCAGGGTTGCCTGTTGTCACCGATTCTGTTCATAACTTTTATGGACAGAAATTCTCGGTGCAGCCAGGGGGCAGAGGGATTCTTGTTCGGTGGCCTCAGGCTTCCATCCCTGCTATTTGCAGATGATGTGGTCCTGTTGACATCATCGTGCCATGATCTTCAGCTCTAACTGTGACACAGCTGGGATGAGAATCAACACCTCCAAATCTGAGGCCATGGTCCTCAGTTGGAAATGGGTGGATTGCGCTCTTCAGGTCGAGGGTGAGTCTCTGCCTCAAGTGGAGGAGTTCAAGTATTTCATGGTTTTGTTCACGAGTGAGGGAAGAATGGAGCATGAGATTGACAGATGGACTGGTGCAGCATCTGCAGTATTGCAGACTCTGTGCCGGTCTGTTGTGGTGAAGAGGGAGCTGAGCTGTAAAGAGAAGCTCTTTGTTTACCTGTCAGTCTACATTCCTGCCCTCACCTCTTGCCACAAACAATGGGTAGTGACCGAAAGAATGAGACTACGAATACAGGGGGTTGAAATGAGTGTCCTACGCAGAGTAGTTGGACTCTCCTTAGAGATAGGGTGAGAAGTTCAGTTATCTGGGATGAACTCTTGAGTAGAACCGCTGCTTCTCCACATCAAGAGTAGCCAGTTGAGGTGGTTCGGGCATCTTGTAAGGATGCCCCCTGGGCATCACCCCAGGGATGTGCTTCGGCCATGTCTGTCTGGGAGGATACCACGGGGAAGACCCAGGACACGCTGGAGAGACTACGTCTCTGTTGGCCTGGAAACACTTTGGAATCCTCCCAGAAGAGCTGGAAGATGTGGCTGTGAAACTGTGAAACTATGTATGTATGTATGTACAGTATGTATGTATGTATGTATGTATGTATGTATGTATGTATGTATGTATGGATGTATGTATGTATGGATGTATGTCTATGTACAGTATGTATGTATGTACAGTTTGTATGTATGTATGTACAGTTTGTATGTATGTATGTATGTATGGATGTATGTATGTATGTATGGATGGATGGATGGATGGATGGATGGACGGATGGATATGATCTGTGTTTCCCATGGTCTTTGTTTGTGTTTTCTTTTCCAACATCTTAGACTTCCTTTGATTTGATTTTTGAGCACAACAAGGATATTTTATAAAGCTAACTTTGGATCTTCCTCACTTCAGTCCTACTCCCAAACCAAATATATTTCATGCAACCAAGAGTTAGCAATATGTTGTGGAGTGTACCCTGAAAAAACTCTGAAAATTTGAAAATAAATTAATACATTAAACTAAAGTACAGTTAGAATAATTGAGTGCTGGATCTGCCTATCATTGGTGAATTTAGTCAAATGTAAAAATAGCTGAGTGCAGGTGAAGCATCCACAGAACAGTAAAAGCATCATTCAGATAAATCAAAGGTACGATGTACAGAAACACAGACCGCAGGGTGTTAAATAAAGCAGTCTGGGGAAAAAATCAAATGAAAGAGTTCGAATAGATTATTTTCTTACCTACCTGACGTTACCCAGATTTGAAACAAATAAAATAACTGTGTGGAATAAAACCTCAGCAGAACTGAAGGCAGCATTCACTATAAAAAAAATCTGGGTTGAAGGCTAATTGCTGGAGCGTGCTTATGCCTTCTTGGATAGTGGAAAAACTGCACTGCTGCTACAAGATTTGATGATTTAAAACACACACCTCGCAAGCATGAGATTCGCACTGGGATTGTTGGTTCCTGGGCCAGTGGGGCTCCATTTAATGGTGTAGATTTCTTTGTTGTGTGCCTGTAGGTCGTGCACGCACAAATCCTGCTTCATACTCCAGATCTGAAGACACAAAAACCAATTAAACTGATCACTGGTGCATAAAAGCCACCATAAGATTTACAGATGTAGTGAACCTGATCTGACCCCAAATCTTGACCAGATGAACAGAGACTGTTATTTCATTGATCTGCATCCAGAAATACAGTTTGAGCCATCTGGTGACTTTCTTTCTTGAATTAATCAAGCAGAAAAGACAATTCTCTATGATCATTACTATTTTACAAATGTTTGATAATCAAATTGTGTTAGCTCACTCAATGCTTACAGGTTGAAGAGAACTACTCATTTTTATTTTACATAAACAGTAAGTAATGATTTTTATTCCTCATTCAAAGAAGAAATCAGGTTAATATGCATTTCTTGATTTTTCTGTCTGCAATGTAAGTATGTTAAAGGTCGGTTCTCAGTCAACTAAAATGATTACTGAGAAAAAATGTCATGTTTAACTATTTGAGAAGATACAGCAGAGTGAGACTCCACGAAGTCTGGTTTCTGCAATAATCTTTCTGTCTGTTGTTGAACAATCTCATTCTCTGACCTCGAATTTGATAACATCTTACATCACAAACCACACCTCTATTTCTGGTCCATCGACCAATCAAAAAGCTCTCAAATGACCCGGAAGTCGACCCATTTAAAATGTGGCAACTTCCCAGTTCAAGAGAGGCTGAGACGCTGAGTTGCTGGAGTTTGTTGGTTGCTGTGTTGCCGCACTCAGAAATGAGTTCAACTAGAGAGTGCACAGAGTGATGGAGTTAGAGTTCTTGGATGCAAACGCGCTCAGGATGATCCAGAGACGTTTTGGGATTATAACTTCTGTTTGAACAACCTCGTACGACTCTCGAAGGATTTCAGCTGCTCTCAACGGAGACGCTGAAAGAGTCTGAAGGATTCTATACCGAGCTGATTTATCGTCAACCAGGTAACGATCTACTTCAACCAAGCGTACCGTCGCAAGCTGAGATCTGATGGGAGCGTGCACGTTTCTGGTCAAACAGATTAATTCCCTCACAAATCTCTCTGTAAGATAAATTTCCATTTCCATCTTAAACTCTGCTTTCTCTTAAAATCAGTACAGATATTTTAGAAATATCTGAAGCAAAATCCTCAATCACCGCCGCGTGATTGAAGTCTATTATTTGTGAAACTTGTCTGTTATTATTTTCATATTTTGCCAAATTAATGTAAATGTTTGATGTTAACTTTGATTCTGAAAATAAATGACCGCATTCATTTTGATGGGTCAAAGATAAATAACGTCTCTCGTTACATTTCTGTTAAAATTCAATGCACGACATTTACACAGTCAGAAAGATGAGGAACTCGTGAAAAGTATGAATATATATCCCTATATGACATACTACACAGACATGAGAGACACCTCCTTATTTTCTTTATGAACATAATTCACACACAGGTCAGAGAGAAAATCTGTAGCACAAATGATCTAAACATGTACAAAACTCAAGCAACAGGACTGGACATCATTCCAAAACATTCTGAAGGCTCTGCCCTGAGTGCTGTTCGTTGGTGAGATGCTACATAACCAGTATCATATAAAACTGTAGAGGTTTAATATTAGCTGATGTAGTGCTTTTTCACACCAGGATGTTGTTTTTAAGAAAACCTGAAAATGATTTTAAAAACGGGCTTGTTTTGTCTAATCATTAGCCTAGACTAGATGAAGACTTTTTCTCTACACTCTGCTGGTGAGGTACCAACTATTGACAGAACATAACTGCATAAATGACTATAAAAAACACTTTAAGTGACTTAGACACAAAGAAAATGGTAAAGTGGACTGAAACTGGGTGAAAATTTGCCTATTATACAACAAAAACCTTTGAGACAAAAGCCTGGAAAGCCATTACTCTAAATGACTGAAAATAACCATTTGACTCCTTGGAAGTTGGACTTGAGACTTTGCTACACTAATCTACAATTTATACACATTTATCGTTTTAATACCAAAGAAGCACTTCATCACGACCCAAGACAAAGTCAGGGCTCACCTTTAAAGTCATGTCATCTGAGCAGGAAGCTAACAGGTTCCCTGTGGGATCCCACTTGATTGCATTGACTTCATTCTGCAGACAGAGACAGACATGTGGACACCTTCCAGACAACTTCAGGGCTGATTCTGCCCAGATCTCCAGTTCAAGTACAATAATGATTATTGATTCAAAAGCTCTCATCAAAGTGTCATTTTCATCTCTTACTGTGTGTCCCTGGAATGTTTTAATGGGCCTGTCCTGTCCCAACTTACAGACATGAATGCACATGTCTGTACTACAGGAAGCGAACGTGTTGTTGCTCTGCCAGTCCACGTCCAGTGCTGGAGCTGTGGGAGGTCATCAGAGGGACGTCAGAGATCTCCAAAATACTGGGCACTGCAGGCAGAGATGGTACTGTACCTGAATGGAAGGGGAACTGTTGTTTGGCTTCTCCTGTATGAGCGTCCCATATGATTGTTGTCTGTACAAGCACAACGGAACATTTAATTACTGATCAAGGAGGGAATGTGATTTGTAAAGATGATGTGTCTGCTGCCTTTACCTTGTCTACTCCTGCACTCAAGATAAAATTGCCTTTTTTATTCCATTTTAGGGCAAAAATAGGACCTTTGTGTTGACCCAGAGTACTGGCTAGATTCCCTGCAGAGCAATTTAAACAAACAAAAAAAATTCAAGCTTTAAACATTTTAGAGTAATGCAGTTACACACAATCACAACAAACTCATAGACACACACACTGAAAGGTAATGCAGTTGTGCAAATTGCCACTAGATGGCAGCATTGTGAATAGACTGAGTTAGCAGCACATGGCTTGTCTTAAAAAAAAAAAGACCAAGGAACACCACAACCAAACTTACACTTCCAACTTTGTAGGCATTTTCTTTTCCTTCCTGACTGTTCAGTAATTTTAACAAAAAGATGACAACCTTGATGTTCATAATGACAAATTTAAAAAGACGTCTCACCATCTTTTGTCCATATTCTGGCAAAGCCATCATACGAGCCTGTAGCTAACAGTGTGCCCTCACTCTGTTGGACAGAAACAGACAAAAACACATTTAATTAAAAACTCACTTCTTCTTCTTCTTTCACCTTTTCCCTCTTCCAGGTTCATCATAGCTCATCTGTCCTCACTCCAACTACCTCCATGTCCTCCCTAACTGCATCCATATATCTCCTTTTTGTCTTTTTCCTGGCAGCTGCATTTCTAACATTATTCTACCAATATATCCACTGTCCCTCCTGTGGACATGTCCAAACTACTGTCCCTCCTCTGGACATGTCCAAACTACTGTCCCTCCTGTGGACATGTCCAAACTACTGTCCCTCTTGTGGACATGTCCAAACCATCTCAGTCTGGCCTCTCTCTAACTTTACCTCCCAGTTGTTCAACCTGTGCTGTACCTCTGATGATCTCATTCTTAATTTTATCCATCCATGTCGCTCCTAAGGAGAACCTCAAATTGCAAATTTGGTCATAATAAACTACTGTCTATGTACACGCAGAACAAACTGACAATGGAAGTATTTTTAACTAGTCCAACGTAGCTTTGTCTAAGCCGTCTCCAATCTGACTCTTGTCTGCCTTTGCTTTCAGTCTAACCTTTTAATCAAAAGTCCTTAAAATAACATGAAAGACATATAATGAAATAATATATAACTACAACAATAATATTAAACATTCATGAAGGGAGATTGCAGTGTGTGTGTGTGTGTGTGTGTGTACTTACATTCCAGTCTAATGAGGTGACATCTTTGTTACTTGGAACGTCCTGTCCACCCTCTCGTATGCAGTGTCTCAGCACCAGCTGTGTGGAGCTGCTTGTACTGTTCTCACTCAGGTTCCAGATACGAGCTGTTGAATCACCCGACCTGAGGCCCACACAAACTTTTCATTATTATTATGTGAACACTAGGAGTTTAGAACTTTAAAGCACCAATGATCAATATAGTCAAAATAAACAGAAGAAAATCCACTGTCTTTCAATTCGAGGGTTTTATGTATCAGGGTGTGATGTGAATAATCTAGTGTTCCAAATTCTAAAATTATTCAAGTCTAGTCTCAAGCGAACAGAAACACACAACAGATTCCACTGAGTCATGATTTTGCTGCTTTGAAGTACACAAGTGAGTTTACACAATGTCAACGTTGAAAGACATCAGTAATGCCTTTAGAGAAGAAAATGTTGCTGCTCATCAATCTGGGAAGGGTCAAAGGTCATTATAGAACTATGTGGAGTTCACCATTTTACGGAGAAAGATTCACAAGTTGAAAACATTTGAGATATCTGCCAATCTTCACAGGAAATTCACCCCAAAGTTAGACTGTGTAATGCTCAGAGAAAGGACAAAAAAGCTCCATCTGAGATTCTACAGGCATTAATCGTCAGGTTAAAGGTCAAAGTTCATGACAGGATAATCAGAAAAAACTGAACAAGTATGGTTTGTTTGAAAGAGAAAACCTCTTTTCTCTGAAAACAACATGGCAGCACAATTTAGGTTTGCTAAATGTCATCTAAATAACCGACAAGTAGGAATGTGCGATATGGCATAAAATTCATATCACGATATGTATTGTTGATAACGATATATATCGCAACATGTTTTTGGTATAAAACTTGCAATAGGAATAAAAAAAGCATAGGGTGTCCTTTTGCCATCATATATTTTGAATTAAGAAAATTCCACTACTAGGTCCAGAGAGTTTTAAAATAATAAACAAATCAAGTATTAGGCTTCTTTCTTGTAGTGCAAAACAGTGCACAATATATGAAATGTAGTTTTAGCCATATGTTTTAAACAAAATAATACAAAGTATGTTGTTAACTCTTAACAGTTTCTAGTCTTCTCACTTAAGAAATGAAGAGCAACAGAGCAGCAAGTGAACACTGAAACACTTCACCCTCCAAACCTCTAGTGGGCGACTCCTTCCGCTTTAAGGAGAGCTGACACAAAATGAGTCTGTGGTTTTGACCAGAGGGTCTCGCAGTAAAATCACACATCACAGCGTTCTTTTCACAGATCAGAGAGCAGGTTTCTCTAAAGCTGACCAACACTTTAACTTTTGACGGAAAAAAAAAAAAAACTTTAGACAGAGCACAGCGTTTTGCGCATGCGTCAGAATATGGCAACACTACGGCAAGCCGGCCACAGTTAGCTTGTAGCTTCGCTACTTAGCTCTCGAAGAAAATACTTTAACACCACTTGCGCACAGTTTTCAACTTAAAGAAAGTAACAATTAAATCTGACAGCTCTGATTTTACACTTAAACGCCACTTGTGCACAGTTTTCAACTAAAAAAAGTAACAAATCTGACAACTCTGATTTTACTTAAGACCCAGCATTACTGCAGTTAGCTGGGAGAAGACAGATCTATATTGTAGGCTAAATTTCTATCGTTTCTACCGTGTACCGTTTATATCGCGCATCCCTACTGACAAGACTCATGGAACAGCGTCCTCTGGACAGATGAGACCAAAACAGAAATGCTTACCCATAATGCACTGCGCAAACACCCCACCAGTTACTGAACTCAACTAGAAAATATTTGGACTTTTTTTTCTGAGAGATTCATTCATCTTTATTTAGACAGGTAAATCCCATTGAGCCTCCAGGACTCATTTACAAGAGAGACCTGATTTAACAAAGAATGATGACAACATAACAACAAGATTGACGTAATTTAGTTAAAGTTATAGATCATTTGTCAAAGACTGCAGCATAAATTGTGACATTATCGTTAAAGAAAAACGTTATCGTGGAGATGGGTCAATTTTGTTCATGTTTTCCAGGTAAACCACAGGAGAATGACTTGAGTGAACTCTGCTGAATGTTGCATTCAAAGTATCACAACAAGATCTCATTTTCTGTCTTCCAAAACAATAACAGCTTAATCAAGATGTTTGAATAAAATTACTTTAACACCATAACCTTCACAAAGTTGGTATTTACTGCAGGACTGTTCATTTACTTTTGTTTTATATTATTAGTTTAGCATTTGGTAATCATGGATCAAGTTGAGATGAGACTCTTTCAAGACAGAACAAGAAATAAGAATTATTACCAAGAATATATCAGCATCAATAAACTGTAGGACAGTAACAAAAAAAACTTATTAAACTATCACAGGTACATTGAGATGGAGCTGAGAAGTTATTAGTTGCCTTCATCTGATCTTTTGTAAAAAATATGTCAGAATTTCTTTTCCATTGTTAACATTTTTCTTCACAGGACTTTCTTGTCTGTGAGTTTCTTCTGTCCTGCTTATGTATTTTTTTTTGTTCTAATTGTTCCCTCAGGTTGTTCATCTTTGTTCCCTGACTGCCTGTTGATCCTGGATCATCAGATCATGACATGTCCCCGTCCTCTGAGGACACATTTTCATCTTTCCCTCATCTCACTCGCCTCATTTCTGTTTCTTCCTCAGTCTCTGAAATTACAACGTCACTGTTAGAATGAAGATTATTGTTCAATAAAAATATGACATGTCTTATTTAACACTGTTCGTACCAAAGTTTAATTTAGAACAACATGTGTGATCACTGGTCAGATCACTGGTCAGATCACTGGTCAATGGATCAACATGCAGTGGAAGTTCTGCTGTTCTTCTCATTTGGTTCTGAGCGATGAACAAATGGTTGAACCTCCTTCAGTCTCACACGTCCTCACTGTGTCTCTGTGAACTGTCCTCTCTCTAAATGTGCCTGTAGAGTGACATTAGTTTATTTTCTTGCACATTTCTTTGACAGTTAAAACATTTTGAGCCCTGATTGAAAATGTTTGTGCAGATTAAATTTACAACTCTCACTTTGTGTTGTTGTGATGATGATGATGATGATGATGGTGCTCCTGCTGACTTGAGATGATGTCATTAATAAACAGTATAAATGGCAGTAAAAGTACTTTATTAAAGCTTGCTTTACATTTTACATATTTTATAATAAATTGTTTGGAAATTTATTTTTGCACAATTAACACTTATTTTGTCATCTGTTATGATTTTACAGTTTCATTTAAATTAACATTTTAATCAATGAATTACAATTTTACAATAGTTGTCAGGCTACAATCAACTCAGTTATCAGGTACTTGGTTGCCATAAAAAAATGACAAATACAACTATTTTATTCAGGTTTCTTTTGTAAATGAGTCCTAGTGGCTCAATGGGACGAACCTCTTTAAATAAAGGTTGAATTAATATCTTCTATAGAAATCAAGAATTCATCCAGATGATCTAAGGTAAGCTGGAGCAGATCTGATGCTGGATGGAGGACAAGGTGGAGCATTCTCATGCAGAGAACATAAGAAATAGCTTTATAACAGGTGTTACTCTGATCTTTTTTTTAACGTGTGTAACGTTATAAAACACTGACATGGCTATATTGATCATTGTATTGCATATATAAAAAAAATTCTAACAAATATGTGTTTGCAGACTCGTTCCCTTCTAAAATTTAATGATAAATGTATCAGCCACTTCTAAAAATGCTTTGATAAAATGCATACATAGTCTGTGAAATAATCAGTAATCAGTTAAGTAATCAGTTCGTTACTGCTCAATAATTACTGAAAGACGTCAGGTAAAGTAAGAAAAGTCGATTTTTGTGTTATGTTGCACCAGCAGCCGCTCAAACTGACTGACAGCGATGAGCTGTTTGGAACTATTGGGAGCTGCATGAACCACGTGACCGTGTATCGGCGAGTTCAAAGAGTGTCGCAACTCTCTCTTTATAGGGCTCTGGTTAAAAGCAACGAAGCTGAGAAGCTAAGCTACGAGCTAAGCTAACAGGACGACCTCGGGAAAAAAACTCCATCTTGTCAAAGCACCAGAATTCACAGTTGAAACCAGTGCCTTCGTCTAAAAAGTCTGTCTCTGTAAAAAGAAGGTGAGAACGTGTTTACTGATTTTTTATTAAAAGCTTTGTGTGACAAATGCTATGCTAAAGAGCTCAAACCACACAGAGCGTCCGCCATTTTGAGAACTGAAAAACAGGAACGAGAGACAGCCCATGTCATGTCAAGGGACCTCCCTCCCATTTTTCTTAAAGAGACACACTGCTCGCTAGTGTTGTGGTCAAGACCACCTAACCCGAGACCAAGACAAGTCAAGACCAGAGTGTACCGAGACCGAGACAAGACCAAGACTTTTAGGGTCCGAGACCAAGACAAGACCAAGACTTTTAAAGTCCGAGACCAAGACAAGACCAAGACCGAGGGAGGGCGAGACCAATTCGAGACCAAATCCACAAATAAAATAAAAAAATAAATAAAATGTTATTATAAAATATTTTTATAAAGTTATGAGCCTTTTTAATGTGTCAAAACTGATGATTTTACCAGACAGTAATGTTTTTACGTTTTTAAACAGTGTTGTTTGTGAAATGAATTTTGTACTGCAATGTCTTTTGTACACAACTTGTGCATGCTTACTTTAATTTATTTAAACTCTAATTTAAGTGACCCATTTTGATCCTAATAAAACAAAACTCAAGATGCATTTACCTTCTTTTGGTCTCTTGAAGTCAACATGAAATACTGGGCAGTATAAATGCAGTCTTTAGGATTAAATTGGAAACTTGAAGTCAGTTACTTTCTAAAATTGTTTAATTTTCATTTAGACTTGTGTATTTGCTTGGGGATCTTCCATTGTATGATCCAAGGCACATTAAGAAAAAAAAACACAGTATCATAAAAATCACCCAAGAAAACTTAGTAGCTTATTCATATTCATAAAGTTTCAGAGAAATAACTGCACTGCAGGCAGCCAGGAATGTGAACAAAAACTACTACAGAAAGAAAACCACGAGGCTAATCAATTTCAACGTTGCAGCTATACAAAGCAACACAAAGTTTGCCCGATGCATAACTACTTC